CTGTGGCTAAAACTGTGCATTCAGGATTTACAGGAAAGGCTCTTCTTTGTTCACAGCTCAGTCAATTAGAAGCATGAGATAACCTGTGAATGCATTCATTTTTTTTCCCCTTTTAAACCTGACACAAGGGTGTCTGTGTCTGTATGGGGCTCCCCCACTCCCTGCCTTTTTTGCTATGAGCAGATGGCAGATAAGGCACCAGGTTGCACACATTTCTGTCACTGTCACCATACCGGTGTTAGCTGAGGTTTTTATGTTGGTCTGTTTTGATACTTGAATGTAGTTTACTGGGTAGGAGACTGGATAGTTGGTAATTATGTGTGTGTGTATGTTTGAGAGAGGCAGAGATTGGTGCAATAAGAGTGTCTGTTTGCATGTTTGCAGAGCGTGTGCGTGTCTGGAAGCGCATTACAGCAGCTGGTGCGCTAACGTAGCTGACCATTGCTCCATTCAGGACACAGGAAGTACCAATATCTGTTATTTCAGGTTGCAGTCGAATGCTAGGTAACGTTTCTGGGCGGCCAGATGTGGCGTCGATGGATGCAGACCTGTGCGAGCGACGCTGCTGATGAGATTTCAAGATGTTCTGAGCGATTTGTGGTTTTTCATTCATTCCGTGTCAGGTTCGGTTTTCAACGTCTGTCAAGTGCCGGCGGTTTTGAGACACGTCAGCGATAGTTTGGCAGACATTTCCTGTCTCGTATGGGTGGCCTCCCCTGTGAGCTTTCTGTGCAGCAGGGGAGGACCTGGGAGAGGATGAAGAAGAGGGTGGGAAAAAAACCACACAGACGACCGGCGGAGGGAGTGGCGGGTCACCAGGCGGAGATTAGATGGATGCAAGATCGTGAAAATACTAAAAATGAGAACGAAGCCTGTGCCATCATGCTTGGATTTCCTGAACATATCGAGTTTATGAGAGAATGGAAGTCTCAGTATATTTAAGCTCTGTTTTTCTTTTCTTTGCATTGGTCCTTCTTATCAGTCATCTCATTTTCTATTTGTGACTTTCAGTCACCAATTTCTGCGCAGAATGACTCCTCTGCCTGTAAGCTGAATGGTGGAGACACTGACGGTTGATCAGAGCGATTGCTGGACTGAAAAACTGGCTAATGAGTCACTGACCTACTAACTGCTGCCCTCATCAGAGCAGAGAATACAGCCTGCGAGGTTGTAAACATAATAAACTTGTGTGAGTACTCCGGGTTTCAGTGAATGGTTCAGCACTTATCGGTGTGGTTGTGAACTTTCATTTTAACAGCAGGTTCTTTGTGTTATGCTAAGACTGAGGTCCTGTTTTTATTTTGAATGCAACTCCCAAGGAGATGATTGTTGGATAAACTCCTCGACCAACAGAGGAAATTCTTGTGTAGTTGTCTGTTTGCTTTCTTTTTTCCTCTTTCTGGCTTTTTGTTTATCGAGGGCAGACGAGCAGAAGCCCATTCGTTCTCCCTTCTTTGCCCAGTTGCGGCTTGAGCATCACCGGAAATTGAGTTTGTCTAAATGTTTCGCTCAGACGTCCTGCTACGTTGTTAGGAATTACACTTTCCAGCCAGATGCAGCATGTTCTCATTAAAGACGGTTACAGTTGGGCCCTGCTTTTATGGACGAATCTCCCAACGACCTCCAGCTGCCTCCAGTTCACATTTT